TCAAATTACTGCTGCACTGGAATCATGTACCAGTCCAGACAATGGCTCAAGTCTTACAATCAGCCAGGGAACTCTTGTGTCTGACAATGACTGGACAGAAAACAACCCACACCGGATGAATGAGTAAATAGGCAAGTACCAAGTTAAGTACATCAGCTTCCTAAAGTCTCTGACTCTAATTCAGACGTGTGGACACTTTTGCAGAATTGCCCATTGGGAGATCAACCTTCCTGAGCAACTCTCAGAGTCAGTGCATTGACATTTCTAGTGGGTTCTGACACACATCTTGGATCACATGTCCAATCTCTGATGAATCTGAAACCAGAAGATTTAGTCCACTCCAACAATCACATGGAGAACAGCAAGAAATGCACTCAATGAAGCTCCAGCTTTTGAGGCTAAAAGTGCAATTCTTTTGAACTCTTTTTTTTTTTAATTTCAAAAATATACTTTGTTCATAAAAATTATCTTTATATATATAAATACTCACAAAATGCAATTCGGTTCTGTACAGTATCATATTAAGGTAACAAACAAACATTGGAGTGTGACTGTATCCAAACCAACCAAAGGCATCACTTACATATACAAGGCTTCACTCACATGCTTTTGAAGCTCTGGGAGGGTCCGATAATTGAACAGACCCCCATTTAGCTTCAGAAGGAAGACCTCAGACAGTGGTCTTTCCCTATTGCGCCTTGGCTGCCCCAAGCTTTAGTGCATCCCTCAGCACGTAGTCCTGGACCTTGGAATGTGCCAGTCTGCAGCACTTGGTCAGGGCCAACTCCTAGTCCTGGAAGACCAATAAATTTCAGGCAGACCAAAGGGCATCTTTCACTGAGCTGATGGTCCTCCAGGCACAGCCAACGTTCGCCTCAGTGTGTGTCCCGGGGAACAGACTGTAGAGCACAGGGTCCTGTGTCATGGAGCTGCTTGGGACAAAACTTGACACTCTTTTGAGCTCAGGGAACTGATGGACATACTGCTTACACTGAGCCACTGCGTGGATTGCAATGGAAAGGTCTTGATGGTTGTTAAGCTCCACTGACAACATAACCTCATGAAGCAAGATTATCAGATGCTTTCACAGTAGCTTTATGTCCAAGCATTAGAAATAAACCAGCTGTTATGGTCATTTGTCCTATTATGTTGAAGGTAAGATTATTAAGGGCTGACTTAGAATTGTTTAATATGTTAATCATCACCTCAGGAAGTGATGTAATGTCACATGATTATATTCCCTTTAACCCCCACACTGATTTCCCAACATCTCCCCTCAAGAAAATGCAGCTCAATGTAAACTCTTGTTGTCTGCGTTATCTCACATTGGTTTCTCACCATGCCCCATTCTTCCAATTTAAAATTCTCAGCGTCATGTGTATTTCTAACTCCAATTCTATAAACTCTGCTAGCACCCCCTCCCCCAACCTGCCATCCACTGGTTCTCTGACTCTTTGTGAATGCCCCCATACTCACTTCAGCTGATTATACCTTGACCTTCTGAGGCTGAGAAGTTTTCTTTAAGAACTGTCTTTTTGACTAAGCCTCTGATCACCCTGCCTAATATTTCCTTGTGGGTTGGTATTCCATGTTTCTGATTATATGAAGCAGTAAGCGTACGCAAATTCCTAACAACCAAAACAGAAATTGTTGGAGAAATGCAGCAGGTCTGGCAACATTTTTAAAACTTTATTCATGGGATGACCGTGTCACTGACTAGGCCAGCAAGGAGGTAATGGTCTAGGGGTATTATTGCTGGACTGTTAATCCAGAGACCCAGATTAATATACTGGGAATTTGGGTTCGAATCCTGCCACAGCAGATGTTGGAATTTGAATTCAATTTAAAAAAAATCTGAGAATTAAGAGTCTAATGATGACCATGAGTCCATTATTGATCATTGGGGAAAAACTCACCTGGTTCGCTAATGTTCTTTCGGGAAGGAAACAGCCATCCTAACCTTGTCAATTTTTATGTGTTTCCTGACACATTATGGTTGACTCTTAACTGCCCTCTGGGCAATTAGGGATGGGCTATAAATGCTGCCTGGCCAGTGATGCCCTCATCTTGTGAATGAATAAAACAAAAAAATTATTGCCCAGTAAGCAGTTAAGAGTCAACCATATTGCTGGGGGTCTAGAGTCACATGTAGGCCAGACCAGGTGAGGATGGCAGTTTCCTTCCCTAAAGAACAGGGTGGGTTTTTCCTGACTGTCAACAATGGATTCATGGTCATCATCAGACTTTTAATTCTAGATTTTTGTTTCTTTTTATAGAATTCAAATTCCACCATCTGCCATGGCAGGATTTGAACCTATGTCCAAGGAACATTCCTGGGACCCTGGGTTAACAGTCCAGCAATAGTACTACCAAGTCATCACCTTCCCTTTCTCTGTGGAGAGAAAGCAGAGTTAATGTTTCAGGTCCAGAGACCCTTGTGGATGTCCCAAAAATTTCTGTTTGTTGTCCAGAGCTAGTTGGTTTTCCAGGGCTGAAATAGCAAGAACTGCAGATGCTGGAGTCAGAGATAACACAGCGTGGAGCTGGAGGAACACAGCAGGCTAGGCAGCATCATAATTCAGAAAATTTTCTGAAGAAGGATCCCGACCTGAAACGTCAGCTTTCTGCCTCCTCTGATGCTGCCTGGCCTGCTGTATTCCTCCAGCTCCACACTGTGTTAACTCTGGTTTTCTAGGCCTCTGTCATTGACATCCAGTGGTGTCAGGGTGGGTGGTGGGGGGAGATGGTGAATGTATTCAAACATTAAATTAAAGCTGACTGCCCCTGAAAATTGAGTGGAATGAGGGAGGGAAGTTTACAAGTCAGGAACCTCATCTGGTAAAGTGAAATCACATTTGCTTCTATTTACTCCAATATATGTTGAAATACGTGGCTTGCTGGTGTTACATGATATTGTTTGACTGCAGTGTTGCTTTAAGAACAGGTGGCTGGGTGGGAAGGCAGATAGCCAGCGCAACGCTGTGTCCCTGGACAGGATAAATATAGCTCGACACAGCAGGAACATGACAGTCTGCATGAAGACACAATACCTACACTAGCTTCCCGAGCCCAGCTCCGTTCCTCTACAAATCATCCGTGTTACCTTAAATCAAATCTTCACTTGGTGAGGAAATCCAGCTGGATGTACTTTTAATATTCGAAGAAAAGCTTGGGTAAGTTTCACCTTTTGTGTTCAAGGGGAGACAAGACAAACTGGTAAAGGTTAAATAGTTGTGCTGCTCTGCTTGTGAGCAATCTCAAAGTATTGTAAAACGTAACCGCTCACTTACAGTGCAGAACATTTTGGAGGTTTTGTTAGCCTTAACAATCATATGACTAGATGCTGAGAGTTAACAGCAACTTAGGCCCAAGTGTTGGACTCGTGTTTTCCTTCCTCCTGCTGTTTATGATCTTGTTCCCATTGACTCAATTTCTTTGATGTTTAATTTGGTGCTCAGTGCTTCCCTGAAACAGGCCGCAGACTAACTGCTAGGTTGCAATGTGAGGCAGGGCGTACTATGACAGGAGATTTTGTTGCAGGATTTTATTAGACGGGACATTGTCTTTGACAGGGTGTTGTCTCTCACCCTGTGATTGGGTGCTTTCTGCATGGCAGGGCTCTCTGCGACAGGTTATCCAGTCACCTTTGTTGATGACACCTGACAAATTATGGAAAGATACTCTGAAATATGGTAGTTTTACCGATCACTGCGGTGCCACCTGCCCTCTTGAACATCATGTAGATGCCTATTCTTCGGACGTGATCTCCCACTTTGCCCACTTGTAGTTATTTAACTGTATGAGGCATCAGAATTGAGCCTGGCCTCACTTAGTATGCATTATGTAGTGGGTCAGCTGGACACATAATTGAGGAAACCATTGGATGCTGAATCTGGGGTCTTTGAGTTCAAATATAAAAGAAAAATTGCATTGATGTAGCACCTTTCATAACCACAGTGCTTCACAGCCAGTGAAGTATTTTTGGAGGGTAGTCACTTTTATGTTGTAGCAATGCCTATGAAATAGCTTACAGCAAGCTCCCAGAAAATGTAGATGCGGTAATGCCCACATCATCTATTCAAACAATAGTGATCACATATTCCTTACTGTGGGGAATCAGCTTGCTCTCATTCTATATGGTGCCTTACAGCATCTTCCATCCACCTGGTATAAACTACAACATTGTCAACAGTGCAGTAATCATTGAATCGTACAGTACTGAAGGGGCCATCGGCCCATTGAGGCTGTACTGCCAACCCCTCCAGTAGTCCCTCTGTGCAGCACTGGAGTTCCAGGCTGGATTTTGTGGCTAGATCCCTGCGAACTGACTTGAAGCAGAAACTCTCCAAGTCAGACATGAGTGCACCAACAGCATGCAGTGGTGCCTCAGCTGAAACCAGCTCAACTGAGTTTGCACGTTCTCGCTGCATGGTTTTCCTCCGGGTGCTCCAGTTTCCACTCATAGCCCAAAGATGTGCAGGTTAGTGGATTAGCCCTAGGAAATGCAGGGTTACAGCAATAGGTTAGGATTGTGGCTCTAGGTGGGATGCTCTATGGAGAGTCGGTGTGGACTCGATTGTCTGAATGGCCTGCTTCCACACTGTAGGGATCCTATGATGGAAACCCCGAGCCTCCAAAAGTGGAGCAAGCCAATACAGCAGATACTGATATGACAGATATCCAAAGATGTGCAGGTTAGGGTGGATTGGCTGTGCTAAATTGCCCCATAGTGCCCAGGGATATGCAGGCTAGGTGCGTTAGCCATGGGAAATGAGAGGTTATGGGATCGGATGGAGAGCTGGGTCTGGGTGGGATGCTGTACAGAGGATTGGTGCGGACTTGATGGGCCGAATGGCCTCCTCCCACACTGCAGGAATCCTACGAATATCCTCGGGCTGCCACTGAAATGTGCACCTCTCTTGTCCCAGGGTCAAACCTTATTCGGCAAAACAGCGTGACTGGGAGTGAAGCGAGACTCGGCCTGGCCCAGCAGAGCAGGAATGGTGCGCAATGTGGATGACCTGGATTTCTGCCTGGCCTCGCACCCGCAGAGCATGTTAGAGGGGCTGCGGGCGCTGCGCTCCAACCCCAAGCTCTCGGATGTCACGCTGCTGGTGGGCGGCCGGGAGTTCAGTTGCCACCGCAGCGTGCTGGCGCTCTGCAGCGTCTACTTCCACGCCATGTTCAGCGGGGAGTTTGTCGAGAGCATCTCGGCGAGAGTGGAGCTGAAGGAGATTGAGCCCGCTGCCATGGAGAGCCTGATCGAATTCGCCTACACAGGCAAGTTGACTATCAACCAGCAGAATGTGGAGTCCCTGACCCAGACCTCCAACCTGCTGCAGTTCAGCAGTGTCCAGAAAGTTTGCAGCCGCTACCTCCAGCACCAGATTGACCCTACCAACTGCCTGGGCATCTATGAGCTCGGCGAGATGTACGGCTGTCCGGAGGTCACTGCCAAAGCACGCTCCTTCCTCCTAGAAAACTTCGAGGCAGTGTCCCAAAGTGAGGAGTTCCTCCTGCTGGGCAGCGAGAGGCTCCTGGGCTACCTCGGCGCTGAACTGCTGCAGATCCAGGAGGAGCAGTCCCTGGTGCAGGCTTTCCTCCGCTGGATACGGCATGATGAAGCCCAGAGGAGCTGCCTGCTTCCCGAACTCTTCGAGCTGGTCCACTTGCCCTTGCTGTCGGTGGAGTATCTGAGAGACCAGCTTTTGCCTGACAAGCTCATTCAGGGGTGTGAGTCCTGCAGGAGACGGATAGAGGGATTTCACAGCAAGGTAAATACATCAGGGATGGGGTGTCAATCCAGTTATCGAGTTAATGCTGGATTCAGCCGGGGATAGAAGAAAAAACACACAGCTCATTGCGAAATGGTTGAAGTATTGAATAATTGACTATTCCAAAACCTTGCTGGTTGCAATCCCATTTTCTGCCCTTCATAAATTTGAGCTAATCCAAAATCATTCATGTATTCTCACTCATAACTATGTGCCGTTCATTCCTGTTCTTCAAAAGACTATGTTCTAGTCAACCTGTTCAGAGATATTGTTACACTGCTCTGCAGCAGCTGAGACTTGAGCCCAGGCCTCCTGACTCAGAGGCAGGATAATACCACTGCAGCCACTGTTCTACCTTGGCTCCCTGTTTGCATCATTTCAATTTTTATAATCCTCATCCTTGATCCTGTATCCCTCTTTGACCTGGTCTGTCCCTGGAGTTTTACAGCCTCCAGGGTTATTCACATATTTAGAATCCTGAGCCCTAAATACCCATGATTTTAATTGCCCCATTGTTAGTAGCTGTGTCTTCAGCTGTCTAGATCTGAAGATCCAGGATGCTCTCACCAACCCCTTCCCTCCTCCCCTTGTCCTTTTTGGTGCTTATTAGTCATCTGCCCTTTAATCTGCTGTGTGACTTTTTAATCAAAGTTTGTTCACATGATGTTCCCATAAACACCTTGGAATGTCTTCCTGCTTTTGCCACATAAAGGTAGGTTCTTGTTGCTTGCTCTGGGTTGACAAACTATAAAATTTAGTTGAAAGGTTCAGATATTTTTATCAAATTGTAATGGATACCCAATAGTGAGCTACAGGCTGTGTCATCAAACTAAGCCATGTGAATAGTTTATGTATGACTCGTGGATATTTGGGACTAAATTAAAGGATAAAGTCTGGATGGGTTATGTATAAAGATTTTGGTACCCAGAGATTACTTGTAGGTTGGAATCTAATCAAGCTATCTTTACAATAATTCTAAACCACTGGAGTTTTGTTCTGACAGCTGTCAGTGACCCCTAAATATTTGTTCCTGCAATTACATTTTTTTTTGCTTTATCTGGTTTTAGCAGATGAGTAACTTTATACTGTTTTGGATCCATCGTGTTAAATGAGAGGGAGGAATGAACAGTTTGTGCTATTAAATTACAATGAATGTTGTGTAATGTGCTGAAATTATATACTTGTGCACAGCACATGACAGGCCAGACATTTATTTGGAAAAATCATTAGGCTAACCTGCAGGGAATATAAATTCAGCCAGAAGGCAGAGCAGGTTTCTAATGACAGAACAGTGTTTCCATGTAAGCTAGAGTTTCATCCTCAATCCAATTTTGAATAGGCTATCCGAGGGAAAGAGATGAGAGATTGAGTGATGCTACTCACAATGATCATAACCTCCTCACCTACATGACCCTTCCCCAGCTCCTGCTGTGACTACCTACCTGCTAGATGTAAATGACTGGGGAGGATGACAGAGAGGGGTTGGATTGTAGCTTACTGCCACATTTCTCACTTGTCTGTTCCTAGTTTCTTGTCCTTGGGACTGTCAGGTGCACTAAGGCCTCATGGGAAGAGATACACACATCTCAAGTAGATGGTGAGGGTGCAGTGAGAGCCTGCTCCTCCTTTGATTGCTTGTCTTCAGGAAGCCTCAGTCTTGGCTCGAGCCTTATCCATTAATCCTGGAAAAACTTTTAGGAGCCCTTTGTGGCCTCTCCAATGTTGCTTTTCATTTCTTCATGTAGTAGAGTCCTTTAATGGTCAGGGATCCAGGAGCCTGGGTAAAGTCACGGCTGAATCAGGGACATGATAGGAGCAGAAATAGGAAGGGCCAACCCTGATTGTCAGCAGGGTGTCAAATTGTGACTTTGATAGAAGCCCTTTTATTCACTTCTCTTCCTCTAACCCGATCAATATATCTTTCTGTTCCTTTCTTCCTTATGTTCCTTCAAGTTTCTCCTTGAATGCACCTATTCAATGTATCTCAGTGACTCCCGGTCGTATTGTAATGATTCTCATGTTAAAGAAGTCCCACTGAATTCAATGTTCTTTCATATATTTATAGTCTCTAGTTCAGGTCTTGCCTTCTCTACTCCAGCCTTATCAAATCCTTTCACCATCATGAAGTCTTCTATCAGGTCAGCCCCTCAAAGCTTTTGTTTCTATGAAAAAAAGCCCTATTCTGTACAATTTTCCCTGAGTGATAGAGCCTCTCCATACTAGTATCATCCTTGTGAATCTTATTTGCATTTTCCTGGGTACCTCTGTAATCACTTTATTATATGGAGAGCAGAACTGTTCAGAGGAATTCAAATGCTATCTGACCCATATTCTTTACAACTTTAACATAAGCTCCCTTTCTCTCCTGAATTCTATTTTTCTAGAAATTAATCACAGTGGTTTGTTTGTTCTTTTACAAGCCTTCTAAATCTGTCTTGCGACTTGTAATAATCAGTTTATCTAAACCTCCAGGATCCTTTGTTCATCTGCACATTTAGACACCGCCTTTGCCCCTATTCGTCCTACCACTCCCTTACACTAAGCTCTATCGAAGTCATTTCTCAATTACATGTTTATTAATGTCCTCCTGTATTTATGACGAGCACATACTTTCTAACATCAATCATTGGACAGCAATGGAGGCAAGAACCCTGGGTGATATTTTGTTCCTGTCTCCCTGTCCCAAAGATACCTGCTACAGATTGTACAGTCATGATTACTCCCCACAACTCCACTACTGTTGGAGGTGAAAGGATTTTCTATTTCTAATTTATTGTTGAAGTCAAGGGTTTCTCACTGATATTTCTATAAATGCTTTCACATTTCACATGTGCTGGCAGTCTGAAGCTCATTTTGCCTTCTTCTAATTTTAAATAGAAGTTAAGCAGAAAGATAATGTTTTGATGGGAATCTGTCAATCTTCAAACTAAGTTATGGAGGTTAATCAGCAGAATCCATGGGGGAGCACCTGCTACCTGGCTCTTGGAGAGTTTTGGTCAGTATATTAGGAACTGACTAGCAACTAATCTGCTGGAATTCCCTTGTGTAACTCCCAGGTCCTTTAACCCACCTTTGTCAGATTGCCTTTAGAGGACCTGAACTGTGTGAAGTCCTCCTGTCCTTTCTCCTGTATTTAAGGTGCTCCTTCAAACCATCCTCTGCAACCACATTTTTTGCGGTCACTTTTCATATTGTCCCCTCCTTTGGCTCAGTATAGCTTTGTGTTTTAATATACTTCTGTGAAACATCTTGTTTTTTATTAAATTGTGAGATATAAATACATATTATTGTTGTCCTGAAGAAGACTAAGAAATCAAGTATTTGGAAAATAAGATCATCATGGAAGGATTGTGAAGCATATAATTCTTTTGGACTGAAATTGAGAGAACATAGTCCTCAAGTTAAAGGAAGAGATAATTGGTTACACTAAGAGATAGCCTGATGGAATAAATGTTCCAGAGTAAGATGATCATTACCAGTTCGAAAAACAAACAATGCATGAGAAATCTCATTGGTTGTATCCAAGTAGACAGTGGAACTTTTGGAGATAGTTGAGGATATAAGTGTCCCCAATGAATAAAACAAAATATCACAAGAGTCTAGGGTAGAAAATAAGTCTAATTAACAATTTGGTTGAATAATACAAATCAAGAGTCAGGAATTTCCTCGAAGTGATTCTTGCTTTGTAGTAAAAGTGTAACAGACTTGCACTTTTGTTGAAGCTATGATGGAAAAGTGGGAGCAACTTTAAGGAAATAACTCAGGGAAGTGTATTTGTGAGCATCAAGGCCCCGGTATTTTTGGAGAACAGGGATGGGAGGAAGAGAGACTTTGTGTGGAAGAGGGATCCTGGACTGGAGAGGTCTGACACTAACGACAGTATCTCAATATTGTTTTCAGAACTCCCATCTCCCACACAGTCAGATTAGAAGTGGAAATGTCAATGTGCAGAAAACTGCATTTGGAACAGTTTTAATGATGGCAACTAGGAGAAAATGGGTCTAAGTGGGAGAAGCAGGAAGGATTAATGATTTAGGATGGAGAGGTGGTGCAGGCACTTGACCCTAACAGTAGATATTCAAGGGGAGTATTCCTGCTTTTCCGGACCATGGAAATAACATACCTGCTGGATTTGACTGTTTGAGATTCTCCTTAGCTGCTCGGTTGCTCACACCCCCTGAAAACTCTGTATTGAAGACATTAACTTGAAAATATCAGCGAAAAATCTGAATTCAACTGTCCAATATCGTATCACAGATCTACCTCTCTAGGGCAGAATGGTGGGACTTCTCAATATCTGCAGAATTAAAATAGAAACAGACACATGCCTGTTGAGGTTAGATTTTGTGAATTTGATTTGATCTTCCCATCCCTACCCTTCACATCTATCTTGAATCCTCTGTTTTCTGTCACCGGGGAGTTAAAACCCCGCCCATACTGTTAGTAAAATCCTTAGGATTCATGTTTGAATTCCATTTATGTACAATGAATGGAGTTGAACTGTGATAGAGATAGTGGAAAATGAATGGAGAGTTATTCATTTATTTCATCACTGTCAGTGTCTGGGGTAATATGAAGTAGCAGTTGAAATTCTAATGGATTAATAGGTTCTATAAACAGATCAGTGGATTGTAAATCTTCAGAGACTTTGCTAAAACTTTAATATACTACAATCTTGCATGAAAGTTGATATAACACAGATCAGTCTCAGATGCCAACATATTTATCGCCACCGGAGAAGGAGTTATAATATTGCTGCCTGAGGCAAATTTCCTCAAATGCCTCAATTACATGATTGAGCTTATAAGAAACAACTTCACATTGATTGGGTACTCTGCTATGTTGGTTGAACTCCCAGCTAGCCAGTATTCAGAGGGTGAAGGAACAATTGGCACCAAATCACCAATTACATGCAAGTGTTATCAGTGATGTAATTGGATTTGAAAGTCTCACAGTGTTAACAAATGAATATTCATGTTGGAGAATAGCTCTATGAATGTCAGTGATTCTTCGATAGCTCAGTCTAAGGAGGCAGGGAAACAACTATAACATGATAGCTAGTGGAAAAAAACCGGTTTGAAGATGTACACTTTCATCATCAGTCACATAGCATTATTTGTGAATACTGGTTTGGCGCCTTTGAAAGGATCTTCCTATTGTGTGATTTCAAGGTATGGTTCCTATAGACTGCCTTGTAGTGGACCTCAGAGCACACTGCTCACAAAATGTGTATTCAGTTCTTATTACAAAGTGATAGCTCAATTGGTGTCAGAAGGCTGTGAGTTCGAGTCACATTCCAGGCCTTGAGTATGTCAGTAGGCTTATGACTCATTAGAGATATCGTCTCTTGGATGAGCTGCCAAACTAAGACTCAGATGGATGTAAATAGGGAGGCAATGTCCTAGTGGTGTTATTGTTAGATCATGACCCAGGTCTCTGGATTAATGTTCTGGGGACCTGGGTTTGAATCCTGCCATGGCAAATGGTAGAATTTGGATTCAATAAAATTCTGGAGGTAAAAACTTAATGATGACCACAAAACCATTGTTGATAGTTAGGGAAAAAAAAGTTTGGCTGACTAATTTTAGGGAAGGAAACTGCCATCCTTACCCAGTGTGGCTTTGTGTATGTCTCTAGACCTGCTGCAATGTGGTTGACTGTTTACTGTCCTCTGAGCAATTCGGAATGGGCAATAAATATAAAAAATATGCGTGGCTCTTTTTGAAGAACATGACGGAGCTATGCTAGAGTCAGCATTCCTTCCACGGCAAATACAGATTTGCTGGTCATTCGTCACGTTGGCTGTTTTTAACTCCACTTGTATTCTTGAATGATGATCTGTGCAAGTCCTTCCTAACCCGACACGTAGAAGATGTGCAGATATTGGAGTGAATGTGGCAATCGAAGTAGAAACAAAATGAACATTTTGAACAAAAAACCCCGTTTCAAAGGTGACTTCACTGACATACTTTAAAATTTAAGAAGTTTCATTTGTTTTATCAGTCTTTTGTGGGATGTGAGCCAGTAATTTTTTTTTTTATTCTTTCATGAGGTGTAAGTGCTGCTGGCAAGACCAGTACTATTAATCATCCCTAATCCTGAATAATTAAATGGTTTGCTAGGCCTTTTCAGAGGGCAGTTCATATTGCTGTGGCCTGGAGTTACATGTAAATTAAACCTTGGTAAGAATGACACATTTCCCTCCCATTAGTGAACCAGATGGGTTTTTACAACAATCAACGATAGCCTCCTGGTCACTATTACTGAGACTAATTGTATATTTGTTTTCATTAATTCATTTAAATTCTACTAGCTGCGATGATGGAATTTGAATTCATATCCCTATGAAGAATGCCAAGAGCATTAGTCAGGGCTACTAGCTTACTAGTCCAGTAACATTACCACGATGCTGCCATTTACTTTTGGACATTCCTAAATGCCATTGAGAAGGTAGTGGTGAGTCACTTTTTTTTGAACTGCTGCAGTCTGGGTGGAGTAAGCACAAGAACGATTTTCCAACTCTTGATATCCCATAACAGACCCTGTCTGTTGTGCACCTCCCTGGTGAACCAGCATGAGAGAGATTGTAACACAATTTTCAAATATACACAGATTTGATGATTAGTTAAGTTTTCACGTAATTAACAGTTTGACTTTGTGTGATCAGATATTCTAGGCTTAGGATGCCCCAGTAACTGTTCAGCAAACTATTAAGAAACTAGTTTCTTTAACTAGAAACATTCAGAAAATCTCTTGAAGAATGCCCTTCGCTTTTCAGAAATATTAGAAGATATGTTCTGCGAATTTGGATTAAAAGTCAGTTATTAAAAAAATTAGGTTCATTCTCAAAGTTGAAATTTTTATTACTGCAGTATGTAGCAAAAAATACATTCCAATACCTCTACTGTATCTATGTACTATCTATACTGTATCTACACGCCATAACTATACTATCAAATCATTTTTGGTTTCTTTATTTATTGAATTAATTTCAATTTTTTTCAAATTTGATATAAAATTTAATGTAATCCACTTTGTGCCATTTTTGAAGAGTGGAGTGACATCTTATAAAAGTAGCAGATAGTTTTGCGACTGCATTGATGCGAACCTGAGCATACTATTCATTTGCCTGGGTGTAATACCCAAAGGTTGCTTTGATCTCAAGGTAAGGATAAACACTGCTGCAGATCTCAGTAACTGGGATTCAGCCATTCGAGTAATTCAAGATATGACAACTAAAACACACCTAGGGTAGGAAAGACGAAAAAAGACTGTCATTCTTTGAGTGAGTGCAATTGCCTTTGTTTTTAATCCCGGCTCTTCTTGTGTTCTGCTATTAGACTGAAACAGAGGGATCTGTTTGGCAAAGACATGACCCTGGCCTCAAAAAGCTGCAGGAGGTCCTGGTGGTTGTTGGAGGAAGGGCAATGGATGATTCTGATGATGACCAGATGCTGTCACAAAACTGTGCTTTTTACAACACCAAGACAAGTGAGTTATGCTATGATGATCTTGAATTGTATAGTGTGTGCAAGGAAATGGATTTCTGTAGTGTGGTGTGTGTTTATGACTAGGCCCAGTATAGTCTGTTAGATATTGGAATTGTGGCATGTGAGGCTGGGTTTAAATATTGGGGCCAGTTAATGTGTTGTGTGTTTGGCGCTGGGACTATGTTAACATTCAGAAAATCTCTTGAAGAATGCCCTTCGCTTTTCAGAAATATTAGAAGATATGTTCTGCGAATTTGGATTAAAAGTCAGTTATTAAAAAAATTAGGTTCATTCTCAAAGTTGAAATTTTTATTACTGCAGTATGTAGCAAAAAATACATTCCAATACCTCTACTGTATCTATGTACTATGTCTTAGACACTGGGATATCATCTTTTATGAAGTGATTTTTGACACATTATTTTGGCAGCTCTTCAGTAGCAACCTGTGCCACACCTTACTGGGGTAAGTGCACTAGAAACCAAGCCATGCTATTCATGAAGTCGTCACAAAAGTTAAAGATTTTGTAAGTGTATACATAATTTCCCAAGTTACCTGTCTTTCAAACTCAACTCGACAGAAAGCATGGAACAAGTTTCTGTACTTAACGAGAATTCCTATTTAGTAAAAATAAGTATGCTCTAGGTATTGGTAAACCATTATGAACTGTTCAACATTTAACTTTACTGCTTAAAACTCTAACCCCCTTATAAACTTCCTCTACATGCAACAACAGACTGAAGCAGGTTTTAAAAAAAACTGGGTGTTATGGATGGTGGGAAAGACTGGAGAGAGTATTCAATGGTCCCTTGTCCCAGGCTTCACTGACCTGATTGAAAGCACCAAGTCCTGACAAACTAAAACAGTCTTCCTTTTCCAGATACTTGACTTGCTTGTGGGAGGCATGGGGTGACTGGTTCACATTTACGCTGTCTCTGACCTATTAATTAAAAAACCACAGCTTACAGCAACAGATGAGTTGAAATAAATTGACTTTCTTCAGGCTTGACGTGTTTTTGACTGAAGTGAAAAAGAACAGCACCTTCCCTTTCGGAGATCCAATAGCTTCTCCTTCAAACCTTCTCACACAAAGCAACACTGTTTAAAACAACTCATGATGAGTTCCAGTAACTTGCCTTTAAACGTTCCACAGCTCCTTCCATTGTCCTTGATTTAAAGCAGTCCTTTTCCTGATTTAGTCCACAATGCAAAATAAAATAAAAAATGTGCGATCTTGTCATTATTTTCTCAAATAAAACCCCACATGGTTTTGAGCACCTCTTCCAAGTCTCTCCTTAATCGTCTCTGCTCGAAAGGGAACAATTCTGGCTTCTCCAGTCTCTCCACAAAATTGAATTCAGTCCTGGTGTCATTTCACTAAATCTTCTCCATATCCTTTTTAATGCCTTGAAGTCCTTTCAACCAGATTGGCGACTGGATTGGCCATTTTTCTTTCCTATATGGGAGATTGAACCACGATTTATGTAGGTTTAACATAACTTGCCTTTGTGTGTTTCCACTTATAAATCTAAAGACCTTAGTGCCTTTTTAAAAAAAAATAAACAACCTAATCTCAATCTATTTGCTTTCAAATGAGGAGCCCTCTGCTTGTGACTTGCTTTGTCAGATAGCTAACGTAATTCTTGTAGGGTAGAGAATTACTAACCTGAGTGTGGAAGCTTCTAGAGAGGTCCTGCTTAATCCTGTCTCATCCCTAATGTAAATAATAGGTTGTTAGTTTCCACTGTCATGCTGTAGACTCTCTTCTGTCAAGACCACTTAGATATTAGCTTAGATATGATAACAATTCTGAACCTAACCTTCAGTAATAAACAAAGTCTGGTACATGGAAAAGATTATTTGACCCACTTTACCTGCTCTTGCTCTTAGTCCCACTGCCTTGATTTTTCCCCAAAGCCCTGCAAATGTTTCCTATTGAAGGACATATTCAATTCCACTGTGGAAAGTTACTACTAAATCTGCTTTCACCATTCTTTCAGCAAATTATAAGAGATAGGATTTATAAGCATCTAGAAAGGAATAATTTGATTAGGGATAGTCAACACGGTTTTATGAACGGTAGGTCGTCCCTCACAAACCTTATTGAGTTCTTTGAGAAGGTGACCAAACAGGTGGATGAGGGTAAAGCAGTTGATGTGGTGTATATGGATTTCAGTAAAGCATTTGATAAGGTTCCCCATGGTAGGCTATTGCAGAAAATACGGAGGCATGGGATTGAGAGTGATTTAGCGGTTTAGATCAGAAATTGGCTAGCTGTAAGAAGACAGAGGGTGGTGGTTGATGGGAAATGTTCATCCTGGAGTTCAGTTACTAGTGGTGTACCTCAAGGATCGGTTTTGGGGCCACTGCTGTTTGTCATTTTTATAAATGACCTGGTTGAGGGTGTAGAAGGATGGGTTAGTAAATTTGCGGATGACACCAAAGTCGGTGGAGTTGTGGATAGTGCGGAAGGATGTTGCAGGTTACAGAGGGACATAGATAAGCTGCAGAGCTGGGCTGAGAGGTGGAAAATGGAGTTTAATGCAGAAAAGTGTGAGGTGATTCACTTTGGAAGGAGTAACAGGAATACAGAGTACTGGGCTAATGGTAAGATTCTTGGTAGTGTGGATGAGCAGAGAGATCTCGGTGTCCATGTGCATAGATCCCTGAAAGTTGCCACCCAGGTTGATAGGGTTGTTAAGAAGGCATACGGTGTGTTAGGTTTTATTGGTAGAGGGATTGAGTTTTGGAGCCATGAGGTCATGTTGCAGCTGTACAAAACTCTGGTGCGGCCGCACTTGGAGTATTGCGTACAGTTCTGGTCGCCGCATTATAGGAAGGATGTGGAAGCATTGGAAAGGGTGCAGAGGAGATTTACCAGGATGTTGCCTGGAATGGAGGGAAGGTCTTATGAGGAAAGGCTGAGGGACTTGAGGCTGTTTTCGTTAGAGAGAAGAAGGTTAAGAGGTGACTTAATAGAGACAAACAAGATGATCAGAGGATTAGATAGGGTGGACAGTGGGAGCCTTTTTCCTCGGATGGTGGTGGCTAGCACGAGGGGACATAGCTTTAAATTGAGTGGTGATAGATATAGGACAGATGTCAGAGGTAGGTTCTTTACTCAGAGAGTAGTAAGGGCGTGGAATGCCCTGCCTGCAAAAGTAGTAGACTCGCCAACTTTAAGGGCATTTAAATGGTCATTGGATAAACATATGGATGATAATGGAATAGTTTAGGTTAGATGGGCTTCAGATTGGTTTCACAGGTCGGCGCAACATCGAGGGCCAAAGGGCCTGTACTGCGCTGTAATGTTCTAAATGCATTCCAGATCAACGACTCACCGTGTAAAAAGATTGATCCTCACTAGAAATCTAAATCAGGTATCAGGTTTTCAGTGAAATGTCAACTGATAGTTGTGTAAGCTTGCTAAATGTAGAAGTGTTTCCTTATGCCTGGGAAGTGGCTCATCAAACCTTGTCATTTACAGGAGGTTAAACAGGCAAGCCTAGAATATATGGAACAGCAAATCTGAGCATCTGACTTAGAGAAATTCTTTGAAACACTTTTGAGAAACTCATTGAGTGAACACTTCCAGAAGTGTCCTGAGACAAGACAGCAGGGCATTAGGATCCTAAACAAGTAACAAAGAAGTAGTGCTCATGTTTCAATTTTCAGCTTATCTAGGCAGTTATGAAAGGAAGAAATTGGAACGTGTGATCTGATTAAGAGGAAAGCACTGGAGGCTCTGGGCCTTAATGCATAGTAGAAACTCTCACAATTCCCGATTGCTCAGAGTCAGTCATTGTACCACCTCTTCCAACCAATTTCCAAACCATTTCACAACTGCTCTAGCAGGTATAACTTAAAATTTTGCAAACAGTACAAAAATTGGTCAAATGATTGCTAATTGTTATCACCCTGATGAAAGGGATATGCTGATAATCAAGGCTGACCAGTCCAGAAGCTGTACCATTATTGTAAATGCTTTGTTTTATTCACCAAAATGGACAAATTGGTTTCCGTTTTAATACTGTTATCCAGAATAAGTAAGTCATTCACCAAATTTCTTTAATAAATTCAAAATTAACTCATTTATTATAAGCAAAATATATTCTTTAAGGAAGTGGAAAAAACTGGGCAACAGCACCATAGAAAGTATTTCTGGGTGCATCACAGCATAGTATGACATCTGCTCTTCCCAAGACTGCAAGAAACTACAGAGAGTTGTGAACACAGCCCACTCCATCACGCAAACCAACCTCCCATCCATTGGCTTCATCTATACTTCCCCTGCATTGGGAAAGCAACCAACCTAATTCTAAGACCAACTCCACCCCCAACAAGCTGGTTGTACTCTCTTCCACTGTCTTCCATCAGGTGGAGGAAACAAAAGTTTGTATAAATGTATGGACAGATTCGAGAACAGCTTCTTCCCCATTGTTATCAGACTTTTGAATGAATCTTTCAAATGTTAATATTGATTTCTCTCTGCACCTTCTTGACAGCTCTAACACCATATCCTGCGGGCCTTCTGTTACCCTGATGCACTTGTATAGTACAATCTGCCTGTAAGGCAATACTTTCTATTGTACCTCGGTGCAAGTGACAGGAATAAAGCAAATCAAAAAATATCCAAGAATTAAATATCCTCCAAACAAATATGTTCATAATAGAAGAAAATCAAAACAGCTCTGCAAAGATGATATGGGTTTTGAGCAAGAGGCAAAAGAGAAAACAAAAACAGCTCTGTGGGTCAGCAGACCAAACTTGAAACATAAAATGGTATGACTTCTCATGGGGTTTTCTGTTGGCAAAATTGAAATGCAGACCACCATGTTATGGAAGATCTTCAGACCAGACTCCAATTGAGGTGGAAAATCAGTTAGACTTAGGTTTTGAATAGAAATAACAGTTCTGATTTCAGCATTTATGGAGGAGTCAAAGATTCCTTGTGGGACTAATCTCAAGTATCCCAAAATACTTTGCTTATAGAGATGTGTGCAGCTTGTCCTGCTGTAGGGTTTAATCCTCCTTTAACAGGAGAGCGAGTCTTGTCTAGTGCACACTTTGGAGGTCCTTCTTCTGCTGACATACCCTGATATCTTGGAAAGACAGGAACATACTCCAGCAGAGCGTTGCATGGCAAACTTTAGCACAGAGATGCCAACCCCTCCAAAACAAGTCTGTTCAGCAATTAAAGTCACAAATTGTATCTCTTTCCTTTCTTAAAAGATGAGCTTATCTCCGTTCCAATGTTACTTGACTTTTCAGTAATTAGCAGGCGAGTTGGAACTAAACTACGGTTGAACTATTCTAAGAAATCAAACATCTTTTCAAAACCATGCAAATGCTTTTAATCTAGAATGTCCAGACAGGTTCATATTCCAGTTCCTCATGGTCCTTAAATGTAATTAAATATGTATTTCCAACACTAATGAAGAAAACATCAGGAAGGTATCAATGGACTAATAAGGTGATTGAACAATGGCAAATGGATTTTGTTCCAGAGAAGTGCATTCAGGAAAGGCTAACACGACAAAGGAAATACATAATAAATGGTAGAATTTTGAGAAACATAGAGCAGCAGGAGATACTTCAGGGTGTACGTCCACAAATCACATAGGATAGGTGGACATGCAGACCAAATGATCAAACAGGCTTATGGGGTTAGTACCTGCATTGGCTGAAGCATAGACCACAGGATTTTAGGTCAAGCTTTAGGTTTTATTGTCACATGTATTCAAATGCAGTGACACAGGAGTAGAGTAAAAAGTACAGTGCCGCCATTCCTGGCGCCATCTTAGGTACAAAGCTACCTAGGTAGAAAATTAGAAAAAGAAAGAAGTAAGTTAAAATGTTTGTCACTACAGTTCTTCTTAGTATAACGTAGAGAAATAAAGAAATAAAAGCTAAACATTACAGTCCTTTCTTAAGCCATGGGCCTGCTGTTGCTCCATACTGGGCTTTCCACATGAGGGCTTGCCCTCCCCCCACGCTGGGCATGCTTTCAGCCGGTCTCACCAGCCGCTATGTCGCTGACTGCCGCTTCGCTCACCAGTCGGGAGGTTATGCTGGAGCTGTATAAACACCAGGCTAGGCCATGGCTGTGAAGCTATGTGCAGCCACCATACTATAGGCTGATTGCCTGAGAGACAATACAGAAGAAATTTACAAGGGTGTCGCCCAGATTTGACAACTTCAGTTATAATAAAAGACTGGATAGGTGAAATTATTTCCTTTGGCAGAGAGGAGGTTGAGTGCGTAAAATTGTGAGGGGTCTACGTGGAGTGGATAGGATGATCTTAGTCCTCTTGATTGAGGCATTCATAACCAGGGGCCATAGATATAGTGTAAGAGGTTTAGCTGGGATTTGAAGGAGATCCTTTTAACCCAGCGAGTAGTGTGGGTCTGGAACTCTTGCTTTGAGCATACGATCGAGGCAGACACTCTCGTACTATCAAAAATAAAGTAGCTGGATAAGGACTTGAAGTGCCATAACATGATACCTTGTGTCCACAGACCACTGGTCCATCCTTCCAGATTTCCCGGATCACTACAAATGGGGATTCTCACTCACAGCCTTGAACAATGACGTCTATGTTACTGGTGAGATATCTGTCTAAAGAGAAATTCGGGGAAAGAAAGAAATAATTTGCAATTATGTATCACCATTTACATCCACAGGGTGTCCCACATTGTTCACAGCAGATAAATTACTTTTAAGTGAGGTCACTGCAGCAGCCAATTAATGCTAGAAGGACCCACAAACAGCAATGGGATGAATAACTAATAAATTATTTTTTGGTGATGTTGGTTGAAAGATGAAAGGTACTTTGGATATTGGCGGAACTCCTGACTGAACAAATAGCATTGTGAAAAGCTGAAAGGGACACATCTCAGTCCGATGTCAGAATCTCAAGAAATGTTTACAGATTTCAAGAGGGGAGTTTGTAACATCAAACAGTGGGAGGAAAATCCAGTAGGAAAAATGCACCACTCTTCACTGAGTTAGAAATACAGTTGTGACTACTTTTTGGATTTCTGGGCCAACTCTCAGGAAATGAACCATGGCCCTGACCCTAATGTTAAATTTGAGCTTCCCCATGATAGAAATGTTTGATATGCCCATCGCCTCTGTTCAATGGAACATCCACTGAGTGTAAAGGATTGGTTAGTTGCTTTACCTGCCTTATTATGAGATGCAAGGAGATTGATCTCCAGTCCCAGGAATATTGGACAGTAATTCTCGTTGACGTAGGCAGTTCAAGGAATGGCATGTGAACGGGGGATCTCAGGCGACCAAAGTACAAGAGTCTTTGGGTGACTGGAAGCTGTGAAGTATGATTCATTTAAAAGGAACGACTCAGGTCTACACACACAGCCTGATACAGGTCCTGTGTTATCCTGACAGTAAACAGAGCTGAGCAGGGAGTGGGAACAGTTGGAATCCGGGATAGGTCAATGGTTGGATCTTCCAACTGGCTTCTTGAGGTCTGTGATGGGATCCATCCTAGCTGTCTCAAGGTGCCTTGGTCCATCTGTCAACCACATCACCGTTAGGTTATCAATCTCTCTCTCTCCTCTCCCAGCAAATACGTGGTATACTGTCAATAAATAACTAATTTAAAAAAAATATACCAACAATGAGATTGTTGAAGAAATGTTTGTAAAGATTGCTTGATAAATAGTCAACATTTGTCTTCGCAGGGGGTTCCAGAGGCAGCAAGACTGACGCGTGGTCAACAACCCAATCTTGGAAATTCCATTCCAAAGAAGGGGCCTGGAAGCCCATTGCTCCCATGTTGAAACCCAGAACCAACCATGCTACGACAGCTTTAAATGGCGAACTCTATGCTGTTGGAGGTAGCAAGCCAGCGACTGAAGCTAGTGTGATGTTATGGGATAAAGTGCACAATCAACTTAAACGTTGTGATCATTTTATTTCCTATTGATGCGCCCATTAGGCCATCCCAGAATATTAATTAATTTCTTCGTCCATTCCTTCTAGTAGTGAAATGCTAATGTACAAGTTCAGAAAGGCAGAAGAATTAGGAGTAGGAGTAGGCCATTCAGTCCATTGTGCCTGCTGTGCTATTCAGTAAGATCATGGCTGCTCTGTTTGAGGCTTTAACTCTATTTCCCCTCCAGTGTCCCTATCGCATGTTAACCCTTGGTTGTCTTATCTATCTGTGTAGCTCAGCCTTGAATGTGACATTGAATGACCCAGCTTCTGCCAGTCGCTGGAGAAGAGAATTCTAAACACTAATGACCTTCTGAGTGAAGAAATTCCTCCTCATCTTCATCATAAGTGAGAGACTCCTTATTTTAAAACTGTGCTCCTTATTTCCAGATATTCCCTAATGAAAAATGGTCGTGTGTTGGTATCCTTTTTTTTCCCTTTATTCATTAACAGGATAAGTACATTGCTGGCTAGGCAGCATTTATTGTCCATCCCTAATTTCCCAGGGGGCAATTCAGAGTCAGCCACGTTGCTGTGGGTCTGGAGTCACATGTAGGCCAGACCAAGTAAGGATGGCAGTTTCCTTCCCTAAAGGACATTAGTGAACCAGATGGGTTTTTCCTGACAACCGACAATGGATTCTTGGTCATCATTAGATTTTTTAATTCCAGATAGTTTATTGAATTCAAATTCCACCATCTGCTGTGGCTGGATTTGACCCCGGGTCTCCACAATGTTATCTGGGTCTCTGGATTAACAGTCCAGCAATAATACCACTAGGCCATTGCTTCCCCTTTCAAAAATTCTGTACAGCCTTAGGCATAGAGAGGCCCCTCAAACTTCTTCCACTGCCTGGTATAACTCAGGACAGAAGTGGAGAAATATTTCTGAATTTCTGGAGGTTGTGAATATCGAGGATAACCACAAGTGTAAGAAGTGACTCCTGTTAGGCTTGATCGAGCTCCATGTTACTGAGTTTGACAAACAGTTGGAAGCACTTTGCACTGTATGAGAGTAGTTGAATGCACATTGTAAGACGTGCTTCTTTGGAAACAAGAGGATGAACAAGGCATAGGATGGAAATGGTTGATAATGCCCCAGTTGACAGTAAGAGGAGGACAGGGTACAGGCAATGGAGGTCACCACAGGACTCTAGGTATCTTTGAAAGTATTATGAACCAGAACAAACCCCCTCAAAATGTATTCAGAAGATAGTCCAGACCATAAACTTTTCTTATTTTAAAGGTAAGTGTAAGGTGTTGCATTCCAGATGCAATTCAGTTGGTCAAACGACTCAACATTAAGCAAAACACACTTTATTCATGCACTACCATTAAAATGCAACAAAAAGAAGAAGAAATTGGAACAACTTAACTCGATTGAAAAACTTAACAGATGAATAGATTATTAACTACTATACAGTAACTGTTCCAACACAGTAACTTCCCATAAACACACACTTGGCAAAAGGCAAGATCCGAAAAATAGATTGTCTCACAGGCAATTCTCCAGTCCAGAAGAAAAAAACATCAAGAGAAAACCCAGAGAGAGTGCGTGTGGCAGGGAGAGATGTATTGCAACTTCCATCCAGCTTCAAGACCCAGCAACAACTACTGAAAACTAAAACTAAAAATTTTCTGATTCTAGAAGAGCTCACCCCTCCCATTCAGGCTGCTTCTATTGTTCCAAACTTTAAAAAACCCAAGACCTCACAAGCTGTTTACTTTATGGGCTTTCAAGAGACAGCTCTGTACCTCAGTCTTAAAACCTCTCTTCAAAAAAAGAAGCAGGACAATACACACCACTTAAATTAATAGTATTCATCACAATAGGGATGTGAAATATACAAATGCTGCAGATGGAATCAGGCCATGAGTCCTGTCATAAAGTCTGGTACTTTCTAATTGCAGGTACGACTCTAGATGTAGTGGAAGTGGAACGATATGACCCGTACAATGATAGCTGGGCCACGATTGACCCTATGGTGAAGTATGTCACTAACTTCACTGTCACGGGCTGTGTGGGAAAACTCTATGTGATTGGTTCGTGTGCAGCCAAGTACAATGTTCTCACTCTACAGTGTTATAATCCTGTCACAGGTGGGTGCTATTCCAGACTAAGGAAAGAAAGATGACTGTAAATGCGCAATGTTGATTTGATAATTGTCTTTAACTGATATTCCCATTAAGTGATATGCAGCTACTTCTAATCTATACATATTCTATTAGCGTAGTATTGTACTTAACCATTTCATTGACATTTCCCATTCCCATTATATTCCCTTTGTTATTCCTTTTCTTGTTCCTTCCCCACTGCTCTTCCTGCTGTAGAACAGATCCTGGATGAGGGATCATTTGGAAACTGTGCCTAATATTACCTTGTCTCCCATAGAAACCAAGAAGCAAAGAGGCCAGGTCTGTTCAGCATAGCTACTTTGTTCTAGTGTCTGATATGCAGCATGGAAAGTTGAAGATTCGGGTAGTTGATAGCACACAAATATGCCAGGGAAACAAATTTATTCTAAAGTTACGGTTTTCAATTTAGGGCAAAGATTCATCAAGCATGTTAGAAAACTAATGTTACACAACACACCTGACACACCCAAACTACCAATACTGCAGCAACTCTGATCATAAACCAAGCTGTGAAATTCATTACAACTCAACCCCATTCTCCTGTTCAGAACCAAATATCAGATTGTCTCATTATAAAGTTGTGTTTCTATTCGTCTCATCCTAAAAATTCTTCAGATGTATTTCTTTCAGTTGCTAAAGTATTGAGTAATCACATCCTCAGAAGTTAGTTTGGACCCAGCAAGCCACCAGCACTCAGTAATATCTGAAAGATCTCCATGTTGCCAAGAGAATCAAAATTTGCTTCCTTTCCTTCCAAGAAAATGTTTTTTCTAATACAATAGTTCAAACTTATACTGTTAAAGTGATCAGAATTTCTCTCTAGTTCCCTCCCCGCCTCACATTTTTTGCTTTGTTTCTGCAGATAACTGGAGTGTTATTGCCTCTCCATTCATTCCCAAGTACCTTTCAGCTCCGTGCTGTGTTTCTGTAGATGCTGTGATTTACTTAATCGGAGACAACACAAAGAAAGTCTACGCATATGATTCTGAGGCCAACATGTGGCAGAAGGTAGGAGTGGAGCAGCTGGGACCGATGTCATAACTGTTGATAAGGCAGAGGAAGGTTTGGCTCTTGTTTGTACAAGGGTGAACCCCCATTACAAATCCACATTCCCTGCTCTCTCCTCATGGCCATTCAACTTGCTGTACTTCAGTAATTCACCAGCTCTTCCTTTGAAATGTAGGATCTTTTCACCTGAACCACGCCACATGGCTAAGCATTTCCAGATTGAACAACCGACCTTGAGGAAACTTCTCCTAATCTCTCTCTGATCATTGTCACTTGATCAGAAAGAAAGGTGGGATGAGATTGGATTGGTCTCGGTGGAAATTCCAAGCAGTTAACAGTAACCAACTGTTTTCCCTTTATTCATGGGATGTGGGTGTTGCTGGCTGGTCAGCATTTATTGCCCATCCCTAGTTGCCCTTGAGAAGGTGGTGGTGAGCTGCCTTCTTGAACCTCTGCAGTCTATGTGCTGAAGTTAGACCCGTCATAACCTTAGGAGGGAATTCCAGGATTTTGACCCAGTGGCAGTTAAGTAACAGCAATATATGTCCAAGCCAGGATGGTGAGTGGCTTGGAGGTGGTGCTGTTCCAACATATCTGCTGCCCTTGTCCTTCTAGATGGAAGTGGTCATGGTTTGTAAGGTTCTGTCTAAGGAGGCTTGGTCATTTTCTGCAGTGCATCTCGTAGATAATATACGCTGCTGCTACTGAGCATAGTGGTGGAGGGAGTGGATTTTTGTGATGCCAATCAAGCAGGCTGTTTTGTCTTGCATGGTGTCAAGCTTCTTGAGAGTTATTGGATATGCACCCAGCCAGGTAAGTGGGGAGTATTGCTTCACACTCCTGACCTATGCCCCGTAAATGGTGGATAGGCTTTTAGGGGAGGGAGGTCAGGAGGTGCGTTACTCATCTCAAACCTGCTGCAAACCATACTGGTTCACCAATGTGATTTACCTACCTTTTTGTGTTTTATTCGTGTAAATATAAACAAAGTAATGGTCCCTCTACCCCTGTTGTATAAATATCATGACCAGCTTATGGGTGCTTTTGACAGATGCAGATTGTTACCCACATGAGTGCAAAGTGCAGCAAGATATTGCAGCCAGATTCCATTATTGATGATGAACTCTAGCTAATAGTAGCTATTATACCCTTTATCTATACCTTTCACGCATAGTAGCTCAGACAGAACAATGTGTACATTTTTTCAAGTGTCTTTAGTGTCCTAAAACATTCCGAGGTGTACAAGTGAGTGTGATCAAACAGAATTTGGCACCAAACCACCAAAGATATTAGCATGAGGAAATATTCAAACAAGACAAATTCCTTTCCCTTTATCTTTCATGGGATGTGGGCACCCACTAGCCCATCCCTAATTGCCCTTTAACTGAGTCTCTTGCTCAGGTTATTTCAGTGATTAGTCAAGGGTAAACCACACAACTAAGAGTCTGGAGTCACTTGTGGGCCCATCAGGTAAGGATGGCAAATTTCTCTCTCTAAAGGGCATTCGTGAACGAGGCATGTTTTCATGTCAAGCTATGGTGATTTCATGGCTGCACCATCCCTGAGACCAGCTTTTCAATTCCAGATTTTATCACTTGAATTTAAATTCTACCAGCTGCTGTTGTATTGGATTTGAAACTGTATCGCCAGAGTATTAGTTTGGGCCTCTGATCTAGTGATAGTTCCACTACACCACTATCTCCTCTGTGATAACGAACTTTTTCCAAGTCGGTACTACTAGCTAAGAACCCTCACTGGAGATGTTTTTGATCAGTGTTGGCAGGTTCTTCACCAACGGCATGGGAGTCTTTGCTGTGACATCTACCTGAGTGAATATTAACCTGTTTCCTCCAAACTTTTACTACAGCAGTTTGAATGTAATTTGCTTGCAAATTACTACAAGAGATTCATTTTGCCCATTTGCACATTCAACATAAGGCTATCCTTGCTGCTTTGGTCTTGATTTCCATTTTCAAAACAGGAACAAATTTTACTGATAGTTATAAGGGTTTTCAATGGCTAAAACCATTTTCAAGACTTGTTCTCCGATAAATCAAAAGCTCAGTTTTGCCAACTGGCAAAGTTCCTTTCTAAAATGTGTTTTTGGGATGTGTGCCTCACTGGAAAGGTCAACATTAGTTGTCCTTGAGAAGGTGGTAAGCTGCCTTCTTTAATCTCTGCAGGCCATGTGGTGTAGGATTACTCACAATGCTGGTAGAGAGGGGCTTCCAGGATTTTAACCCAAGAACAGTGAAGGAATGGAGAATTAGTATAAGTTAGGATGGTGTGTGGTTTGGAAGGGATCTTGCAAGTGGGTGTGTTCCTGTGTATCTCTTGGCCTAGATCCTTCTAGGTTGCATTTTCTCTGACAATGTACCCTCAAAATGTAGGTGCTCCACAGCCAAAAAATATACTCATGGGTTGTTTTTGTAATCTGATTGTATGTACTAATGCTCTTTATTGATGAAGAGTCACACCACCACTGATAAGCTTGTGATGTGGGTAGCATAGTCCTGATACACCGTGATTCCATCTCATGGATGGATGTCATGGATCTCATTCTTTGGACTGGTATCCCATCATTCATTATATTGCAACTGACATCCCATGATCCATTGCACTGATGTCCCACAATCCAATAGATTGATGGGTAATTGTTCTGCTGTCCTCTTTTTCAGGTCCAGTTGCTGCATAAGCTCCATGAGAATGGGGGCATGGTGGTGATTGCTGGGAAGATCTATGTTACCGGTGGTCACTGGAAAGGGATGGAAGGAGACTATAGTGTGGAGTTGGAGGTGTATGATTGTGCCAAGGACGTGTGGACTGTCGAAGGTTCCCTGCCGCGTCCCTGGCTTTATCATGGGTCTTGTTCCATTTTCATTGACACGTCAAGATGGACTGAACTGTTCCCGGACAGTGACACCTAGAGAAACCCACTTTAACTCTCCTTTGTCCACGCACCTGATTGAGGAGGCTGCCTGCACAACACAGCACAATGAACAGTTAGTGGAGGAGAGGGGAATATAACCCACTGTCCAAAGTGGCTGCATTTGGTCTTTATTAGTGGCTTCACCTTCACTAGTCTGAGAGGTTTGTTTTCTAGAAAGTCTCCCCCTGGAGGCCAGGCATTCAATGAAAGCGACTGGACTGTAGTTACAGAATCGAGCTCAAAATCCAAAATGTCTGCCATCCAACATGATCAAACTCATTCACGAGCCGAGCTTATTGGATTTGGTGTCAGTGTTCAGTTATTAGATGTGAAGGAAATGAATTATTCAATATAAGTGGTCCCTTGGCAACCCACAAGCAATAGTGACAACAGGCCATGGTCTCTGGAGCATTGACGTTCACTTTGAGCAATCATTCAGTGATATCACACCTATCCTAATGAGAATAGTGCAGATGACATCAAAACTATTCGCTACCACAATTACCCTAACCTTGAAAAGTGAAGCTGAGCAAATAATTATTAGCAATATCTTTTCTTTTAAATGCATATTATGTTGTTTTATCTGCAGTAACATAACCTTGTCCTTGTAGTGCCAACATGTGAACCTATAAGAACCCTCCCAACCACTTTAGCAGCTGGTTCAAGGTCAAGGATCCACTTTGAAATGGAAATCTCCTTCAAAACCCAGCACAAAAATAATAGAAAATTGGGCAAACACTGTGTGAGGTGATGTGGGCTATGCCCCCAGTGTATACCTTTACCTGATGTGGCCAGATTTATGTTATCCCTCGTAACATATTGACCAGGTATTGAAGGATCCGACAGATATTTATTACAGATGGCTATTACATATAATTGCTATGTTCACAGACACAGCAGTGTCAGGATTAGTAGCAAGGGATAGAAAGCAGCATGCTTCCATTGGCTATTATATATAATTATTGAATTCACAGGCACAGAAGTACCTGTGAAATTATTAAGTTGAGCAGCATGTTTTTATCAATATCATGCTTTGTGATCTGAGTTAGGATGGAGTATGTTATCTTTATACACTTAGATCACAAGCATGGTGTAGTGATGATACCATGACAGTGTCTCTTAAAGGTATTCTGACATACTGACCATGAAATACAGCACAACACTAAGGGGGTACAACCCAACGCAGTAATGTCTTTCCAAGGGGAGAATGAAATAGACCCATAAAGCACAGAAATGTCTGCGCTGATGAGACATCCCGATCTAGTCCCATTTGCCAGCATTTGGCCCACATCCCTCTAAACTCTTTCAATTCATATACCCATCTAGATACCTTTTAAATGTTGTAATTGTACCAGCCTTTAATATTTATTCTGGTAGCTCGTTCCATACACGCACCACCCTCTGCATGAAAAAGTTGCCCCTTAAATTTTTAAATTTTAAATGTTTAAATTTTTTTAAACCTTTCCCCTCTCACTTTAAACCTATGCCCTCTAATTTTGGTCTCCCCTACCCTGGGAAAAGACCTTGGCTTTTCACCCTCCCCATGTCTCTCAGGATTTTATAAACCTCTATAAGGTCAAAATTGCTTGCCGATATTTAATTACGATTAAGACTAGGGAAAGAAAACTTTGTTCTAGCCCCCAAAGCATTACTGTTCTCTCCATTAATGTTAGCAACATCAGGCTGTTATCCTTTACAGTTGATTCTGTTATAACACGATATTTGCGTTCCTGTGCAACATTGCCTTATAGAAAATCGCACTATAGAAACAATGGAGCTACAGGAAAAGTGAGGTTAGGGGCAGACCACCAAAAAAAATCACTCAAAATTGCTCAAAAATCACTCAAAAGCCTAACTCAAAGGATAGCACAACATGAATAAATGTTTAATTCATATCTAATAATGAAATGAAAGTTAGTAACATTTTACCTTGAAAAATATCAAGATGACTAGATGGGGTAGGAGGTTGATGGGGTAGGAGGTTGTACTGTACCTCTCACAGAAGGCACTTCATGATGAAGCCTTGCGAAATGATCACGTGATGTTGGCGCGGAGACTCTTTCAGCGCTGACATTGTCCATATTCACGACAAAGCCCATGAAGCGATCATGTGATATTGAAGCGTACTCCTCCATGCACTGATGGAATCGTGTTATAGCCAACACAAGTTTGCGTTTTAGAAATAGCGGTCCCCCTATTCATCAGTTGCGTTGCAGCCAGTTTGCATTGACAGAACACACGTTATAGCAGAGCTGACTGAACTTTAAATTGTAAAAACCGAAAGACCTGCGGATGCTGTAAATCAGGAACAAAAACAGAAGTTGCTGGAAAAGCTCAGCAGGTCTGGCAGCATCTGTGAAGATAAAAAATCAGAGTTAACGTTTTGGGTCCAGTGAACCTTCCTGAACGTGCTGAGGGAGGGTCATCGGACCCGAAACGTTAACTCTGATTTTTTTCTTCACAGATGTTGCCAGACCTGTTGAATTTTAAAATGTCCTCATAATTACTATTTATTGACAACTAGCACCATCTTCTGGCCAAATGTGGAATCACACCAACTAAAAACTGAGTGCTTTGGATAACCTCAATTTTTTGATAATGCACAACATTATGGAGACAATATTTAGCTGAACAATTTCAGATCATTAGACATGGAGTTACAGAGCAAAAAGAGGTTGTTTTGCCTCTGTTTGCATTCTGTAAGAGCAATTCACTGAGTTCGTCTTCAGATTCCAATCCTGTGGTCCCATATTGGACAGAAACAATTGATAATGATGTTGCGGCTCTCACTACACCTGGTCCAATTTTGGTTTCTTTATTTGACCTTTTTCCATCTCCTTCTGCGTGGCAGCATCATTTTATTTTTCTCTAATTTAATCTCCCTGCTTTTCCAACCTATTGGAGAACTTCCCTTCTTGTTCTTTCCTCCCCTTCATCCTTTCTTTGTATTTGCTTAAAATCATCTACCTTTCTAACAGTGAGTTCTTAACCTGAAATGTTAACTTTGTTTCTTGCTTCACTGATGCTGAACATTGTATATGAGTCTGAAAGGGTTAATACCGAAGAGCATTAATACTGAGTGTTAATACTGAAGCACTACCCACCCTGATGAAGTCACGTGGACTCTACCATCCGGTCCCCCTCAAAGTTGGTAGCTATGTCTACCATATCTAGTGTAACTAATGGCTAAGATGCATTAAAGTATGTCTTGTTAAGTATAAGAGGTTCTTCTTGTTAGTCCAGGAAGTGGTTTCTCTCTATCATGTTAGATTATACAGGCCTCTAACTTCCTTCACCAGGAGGATAATATAAGCAACAACTCATACAGTTTAGAGAGTTGCCCCTGCTCTGCCCATACAACACTGAGTGTTTCCAACATTGTTTCTTTTTCAAATTGCTAGCAATGACTGTTTTTTGCCTTTAGATACTGGATCTAAAGATATTCCATTATAGGGTAGGTTTTCTTGGGCAGTGGGGGAGATTCACTTGGCGAAATATGTAACTTTCCTGTTTTTCTTTCGGCATTTGTGTTTGTAGTCAGTCTCCATGATTTCCCTGATCTCTTCATTTCGATGCTTTTTTATCTTAATTCCAAGGCAATCAATGATTGTTGATGACCATTGCCAGGGATCTTTCAGAACAACAAACACTAAACTCTGGTCAGAGTATAAATCTCCGGTGAGGCGCAGCTTTGTCTCTGACGTCTCAGGTTCACAGGTTTCAGTGTAGCTCCTGTCATCCTTCATGCAATGCAAGCAACTGAAATGAAACCCCAACAGGACAGAAGAAATTTGAAGGAAACACATCCATGTCCTAATACACAGAACGGCACCTTCTCAGCACAGAATAAAAGCAGATAATTTGAGAAATGCTCAGCAGGCCTGGTGCCATTTGTGGAGAGAGAGAGAGAGAGGCAGAGGAAACATTTCAGGTTGATGTCTTCCTAATCAAAACTAGGCAAAAGTCAGATTATAAGCAAACATTTGGGTTGGAGGATAGAGGGTTGGCAAAAGAATGGAAAGGACTTAGGAGACAGTACAGAAATATGAAAAGATGAGGAGAAGATAATGGATAGAAATCAAAGACACATTCAGAGGATAATTACAGACGATAGAAGGGACAGAGGCAAGTTTGGGAAATCTGACGAGGACAGCAAAACTACATTGACCTAATCTCGGCCTCGTTTTGAAATGTCGGTCTAGACGATTTGCCAGAACTGTAAAGACTGATTTCACTTTATGTAAATTGAATGTAAGCAGATGTTTTAAAGTATGTGATTTTATGCTGTTTTATTATTTCAAGCGTTGAGCTGTGTAGAATTGAATAAATTAGTAAATCAAAATCTTGCTTAACCTTATGCAGCGAGTAAGAATGTTTGTTGAACGTATTGGTGAAATCTCCATATCATTGAAATGACTGTGTCACAATAGAACAGTCGCGCCCTTGCCTTCCTCCCTCACCTCTCCCTCATCATCCCTCGCCTTCATCCTCCCCCCACTTCATCCTCCCCCCCTCAATTTTAGCTTTGGAATCCTTTCAAACGGTAGAATTGCATAAAACCTCTCATGCCACTGTCATTTCACATGGGAAATGAGATGGGTGAATCTACCGGGGTGAGAGCCTGAAACGCACCTGAAACTCAACAGTTAATGGCTCTCAAAGTCCCTGGTGGCAGTCCACCAGTTGAAGAACTGGGTTGCAAGTTAGCAAGGGGCATGCAGCATTCCTTTTGTGTGGTCTCTGTTAAATTGATGATCGATTGCCTCTGACTGTGGACTGGGGCTCGATGCAAGTAGCTGCTCAGCATCACCATTGCCCCTTTCCTGCTAAACTAAAGCCCACAGAAAGTGTTCTTCTCATGAGGGGAGCACAACTGTGGGAGTTCCTCACCACCCCACTCCCCCCGCCCCCAACCACGACCACCACCACCACCCCAGAACTGGAGCATGCTCAATTCCAAGGCCGGAGAAAGCGGGTGGGAACAGATTGTGTCCGGCCTTTTTCTCAA